CACACCAACCGATTTTCAGTCATGTCATCAAATGTCCCTAAACCACTGATTCCTGTCGTCTCAGAGACTCCAACAAGGAAGTCTACATCTCCCCATGCGACTCAGATCAACGGTTAGGGACTTCATCGACTGGTGCCACATCTTGATCTGATCACCTCGAATCCTCTTCCAACCTAATCCTACTTCCACTAGTTTGGCACGTCGAGGTTGATGCTGGTTTAGCATGCGCAACACACGTACAGGCTATCACAGCCGACTAAAGTTCACAATCTCAGCAGTCCACTTGGCTGTCTTGCCTAGTACCCTTTCTCTGACCTTAACATTGCTTACACGGTGATCCCACCAAACGCGAGCAATGTTACAAATACATCTATGGTCAAAAACATGTAGCCAATTATGTCTTCCAACTTCAATGACCATGTCTGACGCCCGTATAACAGGACAAATAGAACTGCAGCTCAGTATACTCGTCCTTTGATAGATAGTCGGATATCTCGCCGGCTGACGCCACAGGTGACGCAAGTTTCCGAATGCCAAAAGGGGCTTCTGTATCTGAATTGAGATTTCGTCAGCAGCAACCCCGTTTTGGCTGATGCAACTCCCCAAGTGGATGAAGTGGTCAACACATTCCACCACTCACTCCCTATCATTAAACTGGGAGTACTTTCAGCAGACCAGTCCTAGAGCAACATATATCTGAACCTTCTGCTAATGAGTGAAACTACACTTTTATGACACTTCTAAGCTTCAAAATCATGTTTTGACAAAACAAACAACATCAAGGTTATCGCCAACTAATGCACACATCTACCCTAATAAACTATTATCCAGATTCATAAATTACCGCTACGTTTCAGAACTAACAATTAGTGCACTACAAGTTGTCAGGGAACATTTTATCATGTAATCTCCAAATAATTCCATTCATCTACCCAACATTCGGAGAAATGAAGTTGCCAGCTAACTAAGTAACACTGATTCAATTCTCAACACAAAACCAATTGCATATAAATATAGTTCAGAAGAGCGGAAACACTGTAGTACATCAATCTTAAGGAGAACAGAAGAAAACTACTTAATAGCTGCTTTTCAGAGGAACGGCTATCCAAGCCATTTTCATTTAAAGATGTTTACTGGATTCGCTATCATCTAAAGAGCCATTCCTGTAAACTACCTGAGGGGTAGGTTGGTTGAGAATAAAAGAATGTCTTGAAGACTGTAACTAAACTACTGACGCCCTTTAGAATCGAAATAGCTGAGAAACCTATAAAAATCTCTCTACTTTATGTCGTGGATGCCTAACGAGATAATGGCAGTGAAAAATCTGATTTTATTTACACGAAAGGCTAACTGCGAAAAACACTATCAAACTATATCAAACAACGTGGTCCCCTCCCCCTGGTTTTTTTACACGAATATCAACTGGTATTTTGATCTCACGATATCAAGGCGTTTGGAAAATTATGGATATGAACTGGATGGAGGAAATGCATCAAGTGCCAGGAAATTTTAGAAGTTAGGCGTTCAAGTCAGTCATAGATCGACAGACATATTAAAACTAATTTCATCTATCAACCAACAAGAAACACAAGAAGAAACAAGGTCAAAGTTCAGGTCAGCAGCAAAGGCAATAGAAGTACGTGCGCAGGGAATTATACTAACAGAAAGAACTAATCACAACAAACGTTATCAAATTGGGCTACCAATCCGCCTGAGGGGAAATTCTTATAGATTACCTATACACTAAGTTGTGCTAGTGTTATCTAGAACAACAGCAAATTTCACAACAAACCGACTCACCCGAACAATATAGTACCCCCCAAATAATCCTACTGAGTCATAAACACTCAACTATTTCGTTCTTAGATCTCCCATCTTTGCTGTATTTATGAATCCAATAATCTTACTGTATCTCCACATTCACTTTATCTTTTTGCCTCAAGTCATCTTCAAGTACAATATTCGGAAAACCAGATATCTTTTTACGTATATGCTGTGCCACACCCAAAATGTAAAGCACATAGCACGCCAGAATAGAATATCCTACATTTGGCTGATACGACAACTTAGAATTTACTTTTCTGTTCTCCAGTTGAGTTTGACCGGTATATGACTCAGGTTTATGTTAGTAAATAACCACATGGTTGGAAAAAGTATACAGGTTACATAGTTGAAGTCATAAACCACTTCATACCTATCTATGAATGAGGCACTCATATTCCAAGAATTTCACACCCACCAAATTTATTTTGACCACTATAATAATTATTACGGGAACCTTAGTAGCCATTTATATTTTTCATTACAGTCATCAAAAACAAGTTACTGAAATAATTCCACGACCTATCTACCTAGGTCACTTATCCGGAAGAAGCTAGGCACTGTCTCTAGTCTGACTGACTGACCGACTTTCAGAAAGAAGTTACAAAGGGTTATTGCATCCCAATGACTTATTCTGGACTAATGGCTCGAGCTTAACGATGAACGGGAACAACTCAGATGTAGACTAAAGAGTATTCTATGTAGTAGACGGAGTAGCGGTAGGTAGCAAGCATCAAAAGGATGGAAAGATAAGGTGGAGATAGGTAACAGCAGCCAGTCATTTAAACTTATCAAGCGAACTGGGCAAAGAAACTAATCGTTAAGTGAGAATACAGTGAAGAGGAACTGGTCTGTGACTCACCTGCAAGAGATACGACTGGGATGAAGTGCGGAACACTTCGAGGAACAGTTTAACTGACCTCGAGCTATTATATTACCTACTACTCAGGATGGTATTCATCATGGACTGAGACCAGTGGGAGAAACATTTGGACCTGGAAGCATTGGATAGCCGTTTCGTCCTGGTATGGGATTCCTTAACAGTGCGCACCCATGGCCTCGTCAGGGGTCGAACCCAGGACTCCCAGGTTTCACGGCCAGCACGTTACCGCTGGGTCACTGGGTCAGAATCTAGTGTTCCATATTTCCTACTTCTGTCGGTTCATAATACAGTGTGACCCTCATCCAATGCAGTCGTTGAGTAACTGTCCCCATGTTCAGTCAAAACCTGAATGGAATACTGATATAGGACCCGCAATCCTTACAGAAGTCGAGAAAGCTATAACCAGTCTGAACTGAGGAAGAGACGTAGGACCAGACGGACTAGTACCAGAGGCATTCAAGGATGGTAGTCGAGAACTAGCGGTCGAATTGACTGAATTGGTAACTAGTGTTTAGGAGTCAGATACAATTCCCTATAACTGGTCTCAATCACTGATTGTCCCAGTCTTCAAGAAAGGTGAAAAGTTCTCCTGTGATAACCACAGGGGAATCAGCCTGACGAGCATAATGTCTTAGACTTTAGGTTCTATAATCGTTAAACGTTAGGGGAGCTCGAAAGCAGAGAACCCGATAGAACCAGGAAGGTTTCCGTCCTGGTGATGAGCAGGCGCATTGACCAGATGGTCACCCTATGCCAAGTTCTGGAAAACATACACACTTACTGACACCTGACACTGGCTATGTTCTTTGCCTTGAAGGCAGGACCCGACTCTGTCGATCGAGAGATCCTATGGCAGTCTGTCACTGAAGATGCCGGGTAAGTATATCACTGTGTTGAAGGCTTTGTACTTGAACACCTGTGGGCATATTAGAAACTATGGTTACTTACCGAGCAAGTTGTGTTTGTCAACGATGCCTACTGTCTTCACTTTTGTCAAGAAGTTTCTATGAAGGTCTAACTCCCCTCATCTGGATTAAGAAGGATTGACCTGATCACAGGAGACTCCTTAGTAGAAAGAGATGACATAGTCCTGTTAGGTGAAGACCCGGACAAGATGCAGAATTTGAAAAACACCTTGAGTGGTTATTTCAGAATATTCGAGGTGCGTTTCTCTTCATTCAAATGCAAATTGTTGTTCGAGGACTGGTCTATGTTGTTGCCTTATCTAAAAATAGGGGATGGAGGTTAAGAACGCTGACGCTGGTGGGAAGTCATACCAGACTTGGAGAGTCAGTGAAAAGCGGAATCTCTGACCATTTGCGGCACTGCCTTGATATCCAGTCGCCTATTATTGATAGAGTGTACTACGCAGTAATTCGCTCTGATCCACTATATGACAATGAAACATAGCCATTAAAGGTAGAGGACATGAGGAGGCTTCAGGTGTTCGACTATGGTAAGGTTGTGAACTTCCCTCGATTCAGATGGCTGGGACACGTGTTACATATGCAGAATCACCCTCTGCTCAGTGGCTTAATGTTAGCTGAAGCAGGTTTAGATTGGGAAAAGGTTAAAGAAAGAAAAATTAAAACATGTCATTAGTCTATGAAGTCTTTGACTGTTAGTCTGAGTCATGTAGGGCAAAACAGACTTCCTGGTCGAAATGCGAGTAAAAACAGAAACCAGTGGTTGCAGGTTCTAAGTGATATGGCTCACAATCAATAGCAGTGATGCCGATGGATCCACACATTATCTACATCTTAATCTTCATGCCAAGTTTCATTATTGTTCAGTTCCCTTTTATTTTGTTCTTCGTTCATATTGACTAGTTACTTTGTGCTGAAGTTGTAGCACATGCAGCGAAACGTCCGTTCAGAAAAGTCTTGTTTCGATTTTTTAAGCACGCTGGGAATATATATTGAAACTTACCTGTATAACGATTAAACCTGACTCGGTACTCGAATTCTTTCAGGAAGTTTGTAAAACCTATGGTCTGGATGTTAAAATTTTCTAATTTCCTCATTTTTCACCTTGATTCCTCCTACTTTGATGTGCTAATATGAGTTCCCGCAAAAAGGACCGTTACACTCTACTACCAGGTCTCACGCTGATTTTAACTGCATGAATCGAATGTAATTGGACATCGAGTTGATAAGGCTTCTTGTAAAGCGTATAAAAAGTCTTAAACGCCAAGGATCTTAGTCAAAACTTTGCCTAAAAATCGCAATGAATTAGAGTGAAAATATTTTAGTACTATCTTGAAGCACGGAAACTGACATGTGAGAATTAAAACAACTTACCCAGGTGCGTATTTTGTTGCTGACAAAGTCAGACCAAAATAATCAGTTTCGTAAAGATCCAAATTTTGACACACTTGGTCGAAAAGAACTTGACCAATATCATCACGATTCAAGTGAAAAACAAGCTCCTCACCATCTAGCATAATAACTCGAGCTGATGTGTTACTATCAGATGGCTTAACGATTTGCAACCCACCAAGAACCCTTGGTTTGTTTCGTCTAAAAGAAGCGAAGAACCTGGTAAGCATTTTTTTAGTCAGTGTGGTTTCTGCAGGGTCTTGCTGAGGTGTGGGTTGGGAGTAACCATGTCCAAGTTCAGGATTCCAATATCCTTGCCCACTTCCGACAAAGGCATTTGAATGTCGACCCTCTGTCATATCTTGCCGGTAACCTGAGTAGGATTCGGAGTGCAAATTGGAGTTAGAACCCGCATACGATCCTGGAGGTTCCTGAGAGTGTCGACCATTAGAAATCGGAATGCTGCTCGGTAGGGGAGAAGGAGGCACTGAACCAGAATATTGAATAGAACCTGACATACCACTTTCTTCATCCCGACGATGTAGTTCTCGATTTTGAGACACACGAGAACTTATACGATTTCTGTAATGATTCCCACCGTCACTAATATAACTATGATCACTCTCTTGACAGTGATCTAGAGTTCGCTGCTGCCTTGCACCATCACTTGGTGGAGTTTTATGTCTCGGTACTCCCTTTTTGAACTTTCGACGCTCTGCCTTTTCATTTGCGTATATGCGCTCCACATCCTTATTGGCATAACGATTAGAGGAATAAGCTCTTTCAGATCCACCAAAGTTTACATAACTCTCAGTCGGGTTAAGGTCACGAGAGTTATCATCCTGAAAATCATCTTCACGTCTGTAGCTAGAGAAGTGACTGGGTGAGTGGTTGGAGGGCTTATCAGTATCTTTATATTCTCGACTTTTTTTCCTACGATGACCGATTTCTCTAAGCTCTTTCCTATGTTCATTTATATTCTGCATCACAACAATCCCATCAGATATGTACAGAATTTGTTCTGCCTGATTTGAAAACACAAAAAGGTATTATCAGAAGAAAAAAATTACAGTTAAACATAGCATTCACACCAAAACTAGAATTTTGTAACCAGTTTACACTACAAGTACCATACAAATACTTATAGAGCGGTTGCTTGTTGAGATAGTTATTTCTACTAGTTGGAAAATAATCTAGATTATATCTATATACGATGGTCGGGTTTCACCAACACGATGCCTATTAATGTTCCACTAACTAAAGAGTTTGTTTTTTCATATTATATTACATTGTTAATGTTGACTGCAGGTTGTTAAGACCAAGAGGTAGACATTAACCCACAGTGAATAATTCTGTTAAGGATGACTTGCACGAACTAGAAACTTATGAGTACTGCAATACATCCGACGGAAAACCAGTACCTTACGACCACATCATCTAAGAGGTGGTATTCGAGTGAGTCTAATCGCGCTATGAACGATGCACACTCCGTCTACTTAGGTATACATCCAACGTAGTGATGAGTCAAAATGAGAATCTAGAGCATTAAAAAGGTCTATGTAAAAACCCATCTGCACAAAATTACATCTGTATAAAATTTTTGGTAGACCGCTAGGCTATGTAGATATCGCAATAACATCTGTATTAATTCATATAATTCACTCTAAAAAAAAACTCTGGACCCAAGAAACGTATCACATAATAACATGACAAAGAAACGAAGGGAAAAAGATGAGTAATAAAAGCATGATGTGAGAGGGGAAAAAAGTCACACAAAAAGCTTTCATCATTTTCGTGATCCTTTTCAAAAATAGAATAAGTGAACAAACTACAGGATGGTCTATAGAACTGCATACATATAGTAATGAAGCACCAACAGATAGCAGCCCTACACATAAAGTCTGAATCTCGTACCAATACATTATACACTCACCGTTTCGGCACCCTGTTTACCTACAGCGACAATAAATAGTACGCAACATAGAACCCCCTGCTGAGGCATGTACAAGATGCATCCGGACCTCCAGAACTAGTATCCTAAAATATATTTGCCTATTTGTTGCCGTTCTTTATCATTTCTAAACACATGACATTGCACTAAGAAACTTTGAAATAATGTCAGAAGTATTCCGAAGAAAGTGGCGGGCAAAGGTTGTTAGACCAGCTGATGTTCTATATACCACGCCTTGCAGGAGCATAACCACGCATTACAAAGCCCTTTAAATGTGAATTTCGGTGAGATGACTACCACAGTGGTACCACAGGTAAGACATTGATGTATATTAACTCCCGAAATACAGTGATAAATTTCACGTTACATTTATAAGCACCTATAAAACTACCGGATAAAAACGTTTTGGTTGTCTCCAACAGTGTATCAACAGGATAGAGGCATGAGCTCCTGTTCATCTTGTTCGAAGTATATACTACGCCTACAGAGACTGGTCACTACTTAAATGGGTGGGATATGAATCATCTGTATGCTATCCCACAGTAAGGCGATATTGTAAAACCACTAAAGGTCAAAAAGCCTTTTCTCGAAAAACATTTACCACTTTTGCATGCATCCTTCAGAGTCATTTTAAGACTATTACCAATGGCACAGTTGAAGGTCTGAGGGAATCAAACAACTGTATCTTTTAGCTCAGAGTAACGGAGATTGGATTGGATGTCCTCACTTTGAGTTATCTTAGTACAGGACTCTTAAGATATGAACGAACTTCGAAAGGATACACCTGCCTAGTGGAAAATTCTAGAGCTCAGCTTTCTACAACGAATCGAAGGTAGCCAAAAACAAGCTATTTGCGTGTCTTAAAGTTGGAAACAAATAAACTTAAGTTTACTGTCTCCCAAACACATTTCGAATGCACGGTTATGGTGTCAACTGATGTATCATCCTACACTAGATTTTTATGTCAACTGTCAGGTTATAAATATCCAGTCCATAATTGTTACGAGCGACGAGACACCTAGAAAAATCTTATTTTGGTTTTCGAGACATGCTGAATTTTGAAACATACTTATATAGTATCAGATAGGTAGGTAGCACAGGTAGCACCAAATATGCTACCGTTTGCTCCATATATTAGGTACAAATAAGTAACCACACAAGTTTGCACGTAAGGTAATCGGTGAAAATTGTGATGTGAACCAATGAAGCGTTGAGCAATACACAGCAAAGTTCAAAAGTGACTGAGCCATGTAAGGTAGGTAATAATAATAGCAATGATAATAACAATAATATTTTATTCCGAATAGTGATCGAATAACAATCAGGCCGTTTATATGGGATTTTATAGTGTTATGACTCAGTGGTTGGAAAGTTTAGACCATATGTTGCCAAACCAACCAGAGCGGTGTCGAAGCGAAATTTCTTCACGATTTTAAACACTAAATTAAGAACTAGACGTGAGAGATCAGAAACCACCAGTTTTCTACGCTCGCACTATCAATATTGGATATATTAAAACCAGGCTTTCATGAATTTTATTCTTTTTCGATCCACTTTATGTTTTTTGGGCTGTTGAGATGTATGGTAAATTGAAATGTGAGGTCATCTTGATTTATTTACCTATAACATGATAAACCGGAGACTAACACCTAAATAAGTTGGCTGCAACAATTTTTGGATATGATGATTAACTTCAACATAACTTTAATGTAACTCAATCTGGTACATGTTTCTGCACCAAGCTATGAGCCGCACTTGTTAAATGAAGACTTGTCAAACTTGTCACAATGTATGGACTATAGGATATAGCACAAGTTTATGAGGGGATGCATTGACCTCTGTCATGTATTTCCACAGTATTGTAACAAACACTGACATGTTAGTAAATGCTAATATGGTCACTCAACGGAAAATATAAGGAGGATAATTGGAAAGTTGCAAACTCATAAACTGGATACGCGCCGGAAAACCAGCATAGTACAGCCGCAGAACTCCACCACTAGAAAAAGTGAAAATGCTTCCGTTTACGTTAAACTCACCAAAAATCCTTTTAAGAGACATTTAATTCTCAGCTTAAAGGGTAGAACTATAAAATTTTGCTGTCCTTGGGTGACTACGAAAGGATTTCGAAGTGGCAAACCAGGTTCAAGTTAACTGTAAGGCCGATCCTGGGACCTATGAATTATTGAAAGGATGTCACAGATAGTAGATAGGCTCTGTGAACAATCTTGATGACGGTAGTTTCGACTGAATCGAAGGGAATCATTTCCTGTATTACCACCCCACACTACCTTTTGAGGTTTTCGTGTTTCTGCATTCCCCACTCAGGGTAAAATTATAGACAAGAAATCCATTTATGAGTGCGTCTAACGACTTAGTTTCACGCCCAAAACCTACCCACAATCTTTAATTTAAATAAATCACTGGACACTAACATTTGGTTCCAAGGAAGTTCACAGTGTACACCAGGTCAAATGGCAGTAAACAAACAGCGAGTGGGTCCTCTTCCTAGTCCCTGCACCGCAACAGGGATGACTTAGCGCCTGTTGGACTTAGGGGAAAAAACTCCAAGACCAGTTTGACACAGGAGAGAGGGGTAGAACTGTGAAAACCACGCCTCAAGATTTTCAGCACTTTATATATGACAGTGAATAATAAATTATATCCAGTTTATGAAGCTCCCACCGTGGTATATCTAACAAACTAGTCACAACTGAAATAACGTAATTACATTCAAGTTTAACGGTTTCTGGATTCGGCCAAGTTTATTGCGAGGGTGACCGCATTAAGATGTACTAACAACAAAATATAGTAAATTTCAAACGTGACAAGTCCGCAGAAACTGCAAAGAAACATCGCCTACCAAAATCTGGCTCTAACCTAAACTGGTGCAAACCAAAAAGCCAACCTCGAATTTCAACCTGTGTTGGTATGTTTCAACAACAAACAGCCCACATATCAGAAAAACAAAACACTGAACTTGAGACGTCCTTATAGTCAGCATGTTTTTTGTTATAATTGGAATCTGTAAACTCTTTTTTCATCATATCTGACGGTAAACATGAGTGGTGCCCATTTTAGCCTGTTTATTAGAAATATCACACAGTGAAACAGTAGCATTTACCGGATAACGTTTCGGACACAATTTATTGTCCATATTCATATCAGGTGACTTCACAGCTTTGAGACAGCCTTTATATATTCCTAGTTTTCCCTCCTTCTCTGTGATGACAAGGAGAGTAGAATTTTCCATATATCTGGGACAGGTGCAGCACCATTTCGATTGCATGTGTATGGTGTTGATTCGATAAACAAAGATTCAGTTATCAATCTCTCCCTCCACCCAACTAAGTTGGTTTCCAACACAGTCGAATATCCAGTAAATGCTACTGTTTCACTGTGTGATATTTCTAATGAACAAACTAAAATGGAATCGCAAACGACCACATTGCCCAAGTTTTACATTATATTAATGAGCGGTACCCGTTTAATAAATGAAAATCTTGAACTCTTACGTTAAGATCTTAAGGCCTGGTTCTTTCTGTTAGATCCCTTCCAAGCTTCTATCCATCAGCTCACTTGTGACTGTAAGGCTGTTTGGGTTGTTCGAAGATTCATCACCTTGCACTTCCCCAAACTGAAACTCAAGCTATTTCACCTGTGCAACACTGCAGCTACAGTGAATCGTCTTAGAGTACTGTGGAGTCATCATCCTTACCCATTCCACCCTCTCCCGCATATTTTGATATCATAGGCTAAAAGAAAGAATGGAGATGGAACTGGGGTAGCCAGGCTGAGTATGCACTAAAAACGAACGGGTCTGAGGATCATTATCTGCGGTAATGCGGTTATCGAGTCCTTTCGGATTGGCCACTTACTTCGGTGCGGAATTTCCTGCCTGCTAAATACGCTGTAAAACAAGATATGAATGGGCCAGTAATGTCTGCCCTTCTATATTCAACCAGGCCACATCTACAAAGGTTATAGGAACTGCTGGGTTGGCATCACATTTGTTAGTACAGTCATCACAAGTGAACATTAGGTTCGTGGCTTATGACTGGCTGCTTCTGAAATCATGCTGTTCTAGTTGATTTGATTTTTTCAGAGCCCTCGCATCCAGGCCTTGAGGCTAGGATTTCTGTGTGATTTCAGTTCTCTGGTGGCAGCAGATGGAACGGAATGTCCATTTACAATATTGGTGGAGCTAAAACACTTTGAAGAGAGTTGGATTGCATCAACTGAATGTTTTGATGTGTTGGTGGGGTAGGGGACTCTTTGTGCTGGTCAGCAGCAAGTTTTTTGTATCAGCATGTTATTTAATAATCTTTCGTATGACTCATTTTGTGACAGCCATTCCTATGGCCAACGGCAGGTAATGCCGCGTCATGTATAATCTTGATAAAAAAAAGCCGATTCTAACCTTGATGTTGGCCCTTTGCTATGCTAGTGTCACTAGGTTCCTACGTAGTTGTCTACTCAGAGTAGCTAAGTTGGAGTAAAAACTGCTCTCCAGCTTGACAACATATTTTCTTTTCATGCCCTGCGCCTTCTGCAGATGGTTTGAGTCTCGTTTAAGTAGTGAAGGGTGTACTATATTAGGAATTTGAAGACGCGATTTGATAAATATTTTGATAACCACGCAGGAACGTTTGGGAGTGAGGGCTAAAGTCTATTTCTGAATAAAACCCATGCAAGAAACTCCCATTGCAATAATTTGTCTATTGTTCATTTTGGTATATTGTCCCACAATGAAACTGTCGCCCGAATCATCCTCCTTGATCATCCGAACAATAATATGGTTATTTACAGCATATTAAAATCCACTTGTCTTCAGCTTTCAAATATTCATTGCCGTGCATTTCCCAAAGTTAGGGCTCTGGCTGTTTTTCGGTGTAAAGAGTTATCTCAAAGCATACGTGGATCATTGCTCCCACCTCTTTCCTCCCAAATATTGACGCCACCTGCGAAAAATGGGGTCAGATACCGAACTTTCTTGGGCAACCTGGCGACCAAGGGACCAGTTATCTTTCATATCACTGCTGCCAATATTGGGGCATAAGTGTACAAGGAACAACTGCCCCCACTCTAGATGTAAGATGTTGCTGGCAGTATTCCTACAATTAGATTCTAAGTATCCCTGAAGCAAGTAAAAGCCCACTGAAAGGCGAACGATATGAGAAGGAAGGCATTTTCAGATAACGGACAACTGTGACACCTCGAAATGAACAAGAAAGACAGAAAAAGAATAACGAATGATCCGATGAAAATCAGATGACTGATAAATTCCACTTCGACATTTGGTAGCCAATTACACAGGTTACGCCATGTGGTACGTCGGCGTTCGTGATCTAGCCTCAATATATATCTTCTATTTGCTGAATAACCCGATGTGACTCATGTTGACCAATATTTTCCATCGCTTCAAAAGCCAGTAACATCAACTGACCAGATTATATTGCACTGTCTGTCATCGGTTGAAAAGTCGCAATTCATTATCATCCTGAGATTTATATATGACCTTTTGTCACAGAAAATTAAAATTTCAAGGAAACTGAACAGACATTATTGGGAAAAGACAGACATAACGCTGGTACTACTTGAAAATGTGATTTAGGATCCACATGTGAACTCATTTAAAAATCTGACTTACAATAACGGCTTACATTTGGTAATCAGTTTTATTGTTCATCATTTCACCTTTTCAGCTTATTCTTAACTCATCTTTGTGCACTTCACAAGGTTGATGCAGCATTCATGAACTTAGAGCCCAATTGGTTCTAAATACTTTTAACTTATATTTTTGAACCCCCACTCGTAAAATGAACTCACCTCGACCAGTGTGTTTCTGCTCAATGACACACTTCAGCATGCCACTATCTCCAGTGCACCAAACAGAGGGCTTTGCGCCACAAAAGATTACTGAGATAATTCTGCAAGCTTACGATACTGGCTTCACTGCCTAAACTCATCTGCTCCTCCGAGAAAAAAGTGCTTTCGCAACTCAATTTGGTGCGGCAGCCGACCGCATGATGTCCATATACACATGTTCTGTAGCTGAACACATCAGAGACATTCACTTCGGAAATCCTCAGGAACAAGCTTTCAAATCGCAAGTCGTAGGCAAACTAAAAGATATGGTCGGGATTTATAGTGGTAATAATAATATGTTTCATACAACATAAGTTACATGAAAGCAAACCAGTTTACAGGTTTGATCGCTTTGGTAATGTGAACTAACCGTCATATACGACAACAACACTAATAATAATGTTTCATGCAACACGAGTTAAGTGAAAACAAGCCACTTTACGGGTTCGGTCATTGTGGTTATAAGAACTGACTGTTATGTACAGTATCAAGCTATACAGTAGACACTGTTATTCATGGCACATAGGGGATGCGCCTAGAGAAAAGTCGTTAATGCTTCGCAGACGGCAAAGAATAAAACTTATAAACACCAACATAATTGTTCGTCACGCTGAAGCAAGCTCAGATCTAAAATAAGAAGTATTCGGCCATTGTTTGAATTTTCTAATATTCTTGAAGGTGGGGCAGGTGGTGCAGTTATGACCTTGGGTTGTGTGAGCTTGTCATAAAGTTTTGGTGGCATGGCGCACGCTGACAAGTGAGATCACTAGGATTTCACGTGGATGAGGGACTGGTTAGGTGGACCTGAAGAATGAATAGCAAAAGCGAGCGGTAGGCGAAATTCCAAACAGGGGCACAAAAATACTACCCAGGAGTAGATCAACCATGATACATCCGGGTGAGTTCTTTTGTAATCACCACAAAAGTTACTTGAAGAAGTATCCAAAACCAACTATTTAGAGGTGAGCTCATGGGGAAGATGAAGGCGCTTACGAAAGTAGTGGAAACTAAACTGAAGCCGAAGATATCACTATGGCATAGAGAGAATGGAGGATTTTGGGCCAGGTATTCGCTTGTGTGGCAAACCTATGTACAGAAGTTTAACGAAGTTATGGGCATTTAAATAAACTTCATGGCTTTTGCTAAGATGGCAACCACACCTTATATAGTCGTGGCGGAGGGATGATCATGGTGCTGCCCGTTGAGCGTTATCATATCAAGGCTACAAAGGCGATATGGTAAGCTGTCCTAGCAGACCTGACGAACTATTTTTGGTAACCTCATCCTTTTTACCATTATTTTGTCGTCATAGGTACATGGGCCACAGGTTTCATAAAGATACTGCCATACAGGCAAGTCTAGTTCAAGTTTATCTCCCTACCATCATGCCTGTCGGTCAGTAATGACCATCTCCGCATATCTCCACGTTAATTTTGTAAATATGTTTGTGCTACGTTCAACAGAGTTGACGTTTGTGAGCATACTTCCAGCCTACTGTCAGCTGGCTAAGACTGTGCATACATTATTGACTCAATCGTCCCTCAGTATGTACCACACATCGGGGCAACACTCGTGACCACTGTACCTCCACTCGTGCCATAACCAAGCTTTATTTATCACGCGAAACTGACCCGTACTACCGTACAGTACGAAGACTCCTAGCTCATTACAAAGAGAAGGGATTAGTGTGTGGAATGTTTGTTTGTAGGAGGGGTTAAGTTTAGCTGAACTATGGTAGCATTGAGGTTACGGTCGGTAACCAGCATCAAACACAATCACCACAAGTTGCATAGAATAGTATATAATTCAGCAAAAAGTACTCATCGTTTGATAAATTCTTGGGTGGTTGCATCAGATTATCGCGTGCTGGACTCCAGGTATTTGTTGGGCTAATAAGGAATATGGTGTCGTCTATGTAGAGTACTTTAAGGATCCTTCGAACTTCGAGTTCATTGAGGTAGTGATTCAAGTTTGAAAAAAGTTGAGATGTGGTCCTGCAACATCGGACATCATGTGGCAGTCTGTTCCTAATGGTGGCGTAACGAGTCACGAAAAATGAGGAGTTGAGCTGTTACACTTTGGTCTCAGAAACTGTAGGGTTTTTTGTCGGCGAACTTTACTGTGTCCACACTGGCAGTCACTTCACGGTCTAGGACTTTATATAAAGTGCTGAGGCCTAATTTTGTTCGCCTCAACCGCATAGGCTCTA